AAATTTAACAATTCTTCGGAATTTACTACCATCTCACAATAATATTTTATTATCAAAATATAAAAGTGTGTCCAACAATAAAATAATGGAAGACAAAAGCTATTAAAAGTAAATGAATATAACTCTTCATAATCCGTTCCTTTGAAATCATCATCATAGTCTATGTTGATGCCATCTCAAGTAATAATCAAAAGGAAAAGAAGTATATATATATATATAAGCTTTCTAACGTAGTTGTTATTATTGTATATTGATGATTTCATTGACGCATTTTTAATTTGATCTCCATGCCTACGAATCAGCAATAATTATAAAATAAGACTAGCCCAGTAATGTCTACTACACACAAAACTAATTCAATAAATCGTACATATAACATTAATTTGAGAAATCCTTCACGCCTGCATGGAGATTAATTTATTTGTTTAACTTAATAAAAATAAGTAAACACTTCAACTAGTTTTTAAAATGTCCATTATATGATTACATTAATTTCAAATATTGTTACATTAATTTATTTTCTTGTAAGTTTGAAATAGTATTGAATTCTTCTTTATATAAATAAAAAATAACATAAAGGCTAACTTCAACCATTACTCGTTATCTTTGAAAAATGATTTAGTAACGTTTATTTAAAAGCTATTGTAACAAATTATATTTTTTCTAATAAAAATAATCGCAGTAACGTTAGGAAGTATCGAAAGCTAAATTATTTATATCATCATAGGATCTCCAGCGGAGGATTTCATGCCTTTTTTTTCGTTACAGTGGAAGCCAAGAAAGAGAATTAGGTAAAATATCTTAATAGCTTTATTATCAAATTAAACTATTGCATTTACTTAACGTCAAGCCTAAAACAAAAGAGGTTTGCGACGGTTTGCATCAACCAAACATTAATGAAAATTTAATTAAATTTTGTATGGTTACTGATAAAGTATTTGACGAAATATTTCTGAAAACTTACTACATAATGAAAATAATAGATTTGATATTTCGTACACTTGTTAAATCTGTCGATACATAAGCCTTGCTACGTTAGAAAATTACTCAGTAATTGTTCATGTATTATGACTTTTAACACTACAACCGGACACTTGGACATTCCTGACGATGATTTATTATGAATTATTAGAGTGTTTATATTCATATCATAAAATGTTATATTTAATTTTATTATAGCTATTGTACACATAAAAACTGTATTATAAGTCAAAATTCAAATTACTACAATTATACTAAATATGATTACTAAATTAGTTTAAAATAAATTTATATAAATACAAGATATATAAGTCTGCATCATGCACAGTTTTTTCATAAAATAAGGAACCGAATTATGAAAAGAAAAATATTTTATTTACATCATGCCTTATTATATATTTACATCAATATTATTAGATAGTTAAATTGAAACGTACTCCTTTTCTTCAGCAAAGACTATCTGACTCTGAAATATAATAAAAAAATTGTGTTATCATTTTTATTTAATCGTGTGAAGAGATAATAACTTCAAGTTGTTGTGAGTCAAACTCACTCTCAAAGTCGTTGCATTAACATTGGAACGGTTCCTCGATCTATATACTAGTGAGAAGAATTATGCTTGTAAGTATTTTAGTTTTATAAAATGAAGCACAATAATTATTTTTTTTCTCCGGTAATTATTGATAGAAAAGTTTAAAGAAAAAATTTCCGAGTGAGAACTAAAGTGGCTAATTTTATTATTCTTAACATGGAAAGGTGCGTGTTTATTTATTTCACGTGTTAGAAGTGCGCACACTCAGCAGATATTATTTGTCCTCTACGAATATGGCTAAACCCTCAACATCTATATATGCACCTAACCTTGGGGGTACCGGTGGGTTTCATTTGCTGCCTTTTCCCTACCTTCAAATTCCATGTTCCACTATTGAAGTTAAGTTTAAAATAATAATTAATAGTAATAAAAAGCAAGTGAGCCTTTAATGGCAGAGAATACAAAAAGGTAAAGGGACATTTATAATATTCTAAAAAGAGCATATGTGAAAGACTTTTCATCTTTCTGGTTGAAAATTATGCTACCCACTGCACTCCTCGAAGCCGAAGGACAACTCTGGCCATCAACTATGATTTAATCCTCTTTTCTCGGTTACCTACTTTCAGGAGAAGATATTCAATTAACAAAAAGAACTTGCACTAAAGTTATATCTAAAATACAAATGGGTTAAGATGGGAAAGAAAGGAAAAGAATATTGCACAAAACATATAAAATTAATATATGAATAATTAATTAGAGAGATTGGTAAAAGATTGTTGTCCGCATAACCATTGGGCGTAATTAACTTGCCGCATATTTGTAAACCTAAACAAAAATCCAAGTTGTCGTTCTATTCCCTAGTTGCCCTAATTCACTTGCTTCTATTCAAAATAGTATTTAGAAAACTAGCAATTCTAGAAAATTAGTACGGAGAGTTTTGAAAACTGATCAACGGAGTAGTCGACGTATAAATGACTCTAGAAAGTTTTGTTTACTTCTAACCTTTAGATGAAGAGAATGGAAAATATAATGTGAAAAAATTCCATTGGCTAAGAATTATTTTAAGTGAAAAACTCTATTTTCACCAAACTCTTTGCATGAGTAATGGGGCTGAAAAGAAAGAGCTAATTACATTTGATGCTTTAATTTGGCTGGAAATTAATATTCTCTTCAAACAGCATCCGTCCGGCGAAGCGTCAAACCCTCGAGGAATGCCAATCATTTAGAACTATACTACAAAATATTGTGCATGATATATAAGGCAGATAAACAAAAACAAAAAGTAAAAGTTATTGCCAACATTATTTCTCCGGATCATGATATTTTAACAACTTTTTTTAACAATTTTTTACAACAGACTATGTATTACTATTTTATTGGTTCGTATATTTAAAACGGACCAATCACAAACTACTATATAAGTTGTTGTAAAAAAGTTGTCAAAACAAGTTGTTAAAGAGAGATCTTCCTATTTCTCCACCTAAATATATTGCGAACAAGTGAATCTCTCTGCTTGCTTGCGATGAGAAAAATCAGCAACATGTTTATGTAGCCAAAGATGACGTGTCTTTATTCTGTGCAAATTGTTGAAGCCCATACGCACATGATTTGGACATTAACAACAAGCTTACTAGAGGCTAGAATAACTCCAAAAGAAATTCATACAGAAAAAGTAATTCGATGGCTTTGCATTATTAAATTAAGCTTACAATACAGATTAAATTTCCGTGCCACTCCACTTATATATTTGGTTAAACACGATAAATTAGACAGACAGAAAATTGAGACATGATTTATGCCTTCGTTACTAAGTATGAATTTAATGTCCCCTCCTTAGCTGCAGTAACATAATTGTTATGATCTCGCCCACGCACATGGTCCTCCACATTTGGCAAAGGGATTGTTTCGTGACAGCATACCCACCATGTGCTCGACAAACAGACGGTGTGACCAAATTTTCAGGATTTGAAAAGGATTGGACTTATTTCAATATTACTGAATAGTACACACTGTGTGATGGAAATAAAACATAAATGTCTATAATTTATGTCATTGTAGAGCATACGCAGTTCTCATTCACATTTGAATGAATAAATAAATATGAACATGCAGTATTACAAAACATTTTTTTCATGGGAACAAAGTTTGAGATCTATTTCAGCTGGATTCCATGAGGGCGAGTTTTACTCATCACCCAACCAATAAAAGATCATAACAATACCGTCTCAATACCCTGTATCAAAAGGGTTCAAGGGCAAAAATGTATTCCAAAATCCATGGAATTCGGGAACTACAACATCTCCATAAGCAAAGGAGATCCAATTAAAATAGATTCTTCAGTTATTTTAAGTTAAGCTAATGCTACAAGTTCCTTTATACAAGAGAGTGGATGAATGAATAAAAAAGATTTGACAATTAGCATTGGCATATTAGAACCAGTACAAGTCTTGTTCATGAATGCTCAAAAAGATTGACACACTATTCCAGTGTTTATTCAAGCACATGCATAATAATAGAAAATGAAAACACAAAGGTTCTTGATGGCCAACCTTTCCTTCTATATACAGTCAAGGTGAATAAATGAGAAGAGATCAGACACCACGATTGGGGCAGAGATTTGCAAAGTGAGATGGATCACCACACCTAAAGCACCTTCTACCAGAAATAGGATCTCCGGTGGCTGAAACAAATGTTGTGGCAGCAGTATGAGCTCCAGTCTGGCCACCTCTACCACGAGATCCACGTCCACCAGTTCGCCCCGGATTGGAGGATGGAATACTATTTGAACGTGTGGTACTTCTGGCTCCAGTTCCGTCATTGAGGCTATCCTCCCATCTGTGGCAGGATGATGAGGCTTATAAAAACATAACTATCTCAAAACCATGCAATATGGTCCCATTTCTATAAACTGTTCAAAACATAATGTTAGTTTGAGCTATTTGGGTGGATGGCAAGCAGCCTTAAGAGAAAGAGGTTGGCAGGTTCATCATTCAGTTGTTAAGAGACAGATACTATTAAGTGCCAAAGATGAGACAGTTACATAAAATTGGAACACCAGCCAGTAAACAAAAATTGTATTTCAGACACCAGGAGTAAATATATCAGAAAAGACTGAAATATAATCATACAAAAAAAATAAAATTCAAGAATTCACGTACACAAAGAAGTTGCATTCCTGCGATTGACATGCGTAGAACTTCCTTCCCCTGTTATTTGCTGTATTTGCAGTTCTCAAGATACATGGTGTCCTACACGAACTGCATGAAACAGAAGCTTCCCCTGCATTGTTTAATGGTTTATAAAAGGAAAAGCTTTAAATTTCAAATTTGACAGCTGCTAAATGACTGCAAAAAGCATGATAAAAGAAGAACAAGATTTCCCAACATGATGCAACAAGCTGAGAAGATTACTTTTTGGAAAATAAGTCAGTTTTCACTTTTTAACATCCCACTGAAAAATATACCCAAGTTATGACCACAAACCATAACTCGAGAGCTTGAGTGATGAGGACACACAAAAACTAGTAAAACATTAAAATTTAACACTAATTATCTATAACATAGGTTGCCATGGACCAGACAAATTCTTTCCTAGGGCATGGAAGGTTGATAACAAAAACATTGTAGGGCAATCCGGAATAAAAACAAATTAAGGAAAAAAAATAGAGAAAGAGGTGAAAAGGACAAAGTATGTTGCAGTAGTGTCTATTAAATGCCTGAAATATGAAGACATACGTCAAAATTGAAAAATATAATAAAAAGATTTCAGAACCAAAGCTTTATATGTGGTTAGAAATTGTGGCTTCACGCTTTATGTGGTCAGACCAACAGCTACAGTAAATCGTAGACCAACATGGACTGAGAATAACAGAAATTATCAATGAAAGATTACAGTGAATAGCTTCCTGGCCTTCCCAATACACAATGATCACCGTGTAATGCAATGCATATCACGAGAGCAAATAAATTTGTATCACATGTCAGACCAAGCCCTTAGAATTAATACAAACTATTTTATAGTAAATTCCTCAATAATCCATCTCCACATATTCCAAAATCAATGTCAGTATTCATGAATCATGATTCACTGTAAGCATTTGCTCATATCCCTGTGACAATACTAGATACCCAAGAAATACATTTATTTATTTCTCAAAACTGTCTAAACTTGCATAGGATTTTAAAATCCACAGAAACCTTACCGTTATGTTCACTTCTTCCACGATGTCCGACATTCCTAGAGCGTAAAGGACAATCATTAGAAGAATGTCCTGTTTCTTGACAGTTCATACAAGGTCTTTGTCGTGGGTTAGTATGATGGGCATTGCTAGGTGGTGCAGTTGGTCCTCGAGGTCTTGCTGGAAAACATGATAAGGTATATTGTGAGGATTCCAATATTTATTCATGGAAACATTGGGAATAGCAGCAAACAGATTAAAACATGTATTCTATCCTGTTCCCAGTCACTGGCTTGTGACCACAATTATAAAACATACTCAACGCTGAAGATTAAAAGAAAAACAAAAGGTAAAATCTAGCAAAAGGGTTTTAACAATATCCACGAAATGAATGCTATTGTCCCCTAAAAATGTTTGGATGACATTAATCCACTCAAATTTTGTATTGAAAAATGCCATATGCACATTGGTTATTTCAAAAGTATGTTCACCTTAAATGCTTATAACTCTTGTCCTACACAACATCCGCCTACATTGATATAATCCAGCAATACTTTTAATAGAGTTTCCAACAATTACTGAGTCATTTAAACAGACCTGGCATGCGAGATCCCCTGCCACATATTTCTGTCACCTGTGAAAGAATCTCGTCACAGCCACCAATGCATCCTACATATCACATGCATTAATCAAACAAAAACATTTTGACTAAAAAAGGGGTTTGAGTCATATTTTTGAATGAACAAACAAATTTTTCCATATTGAGACTAATTTTTCACTTTTGGCAGATATCAAAAGGTGAAATCAGGTGAAAAGAAATTGATCTTGCAGACGTGCACCTACCCAAATGGTTGACACTGTAGTTTGGTGGAATTTCCAGCTGCCTAAACTTGAACTGAATTAAGTAAACAGGACCTATAGTATTTGTATGCAATCAGATATGACAAAAATATCCAAAATAAGACGCAGGGTTCAGATCACTAAAACATAAATAAATTAGAGAGAAATTAGTATTTGTGAAAATGAATTCAATACAGCAGGCATTTATATGTGCCTGTACAGCTAACTAATTCTAACTAGCACTTAGCTTAGTTAGAATTACAACTGTATGAGATCTACTGCAGTACAAAGTATTGAAAAAATACAGTACAACACGATAAAACTACACTCTTCAAAGCTATTTTGGTATTCTAGGAAACAAAACATCTCCCTACCTACTCTAAGATACCTTGATTCATGGAATATTTCTAACCTCACAAATCTGTGTAAATCACAAATTTCCTAAAATATTTTTCTTCAAAGCACTGCACATTATTACTTCCAATACATTATTGTTGGAAGCCCCACATCAACTAGCGATAAAGCTAATTTATAATATATAAGTAGGTGCAAACCTCATCTTATATGCTGGTTTTGTGGGGTTGAGTTAGACAAAAAGTCCACTTCTTAACATGGTATCAAAGCTTTGTTAGAGCCTATTCTAGCGATATTGTTGCATCCGCTATCGGACCGCCCATTAATGTCTAGCTTCACACTCAAGATATATATACCTCGATGTGAGGGGTGTGTGTTGAAAGTCTGTTGTAATTAGAGAAAATATCTATAGAATCTTCCTAATTAGAGAAAATATATGTAGGATCTTCTAGAACATTTTTTAGTATATTGTTTCCTTATTTCCCTTTTTTAGAAGATTTGATTGCTACAAATAGAAGTAAGGAGAATGTAATTGAGATGAATGAAAATAATAAAGTCAGTCTCTTTTTCAATTTGGTATCAGAGCTCCAGATCTTGGGAGCTCCATTTCAACTGCAATAGTACCCACCGTCATCATTGTCCAATATCCTATCATTTATGACTCTTGATATGAAAGCTTACAAAGAGGAACTCGAGCGCTTGAAAGCAATGGTTGAATCAATGAGTAAGTCGTCTGAATCATGAACTATGTCCATGAAAGGTAAGATTTGTCTCAATATTGTTAGATTTAATTCATTTTAACGTTTGGGGACCTGTTATAGAATCTATTTCTGGAGCCAAATGGTTTGTTACCTTTATTGACGATTGTACCTGTGTCATGTGGACATATCATATGAAAAATACATCAGAAGTTTTCCAAATCTTTGTTAATTTTTTCTGCTTGTCCAAAATCAATTTGGAAAAATATAAAAAGAATCAGGTCTAATAATGGTACTGAATATGTGATTCATGAATTTTTCAATTTTTTGTCTCATAATGGTATTGTACATGAACTAACATCTTGAACTAACTAGAGCTCTTCCTTTTCAAATGTTTGTTCCAAAAAATTATTGGGGAAAAGTTGTGTTAACTGCCACATATCTCATCAACAGGTTACCCACTAGTATCTTAAATGACATTAGTCCTATAGAATCTCTATTGTCTTTTCTTCCTTCTTCCCCCCAATAACGAGTCTACCAAGTCGAGTCTTTGGATGTATTGTTTTTGTTCACTCACATCATCCTATCCGTAATAGATTAGATCCCAGAGCTCTTAAATGTGTCTTTATTAGGTATCCTTCTAATAAAAATGTCCGTGAAGAATTGGAACAACGATCAAAGTTCTTCATGTTGCTGGCATTATACGGACTCTCTGATGATGTTTCTCATGTCCGTGATCAGATTTTGGGTTCTCCTGTTATACCCAACTTTACTTCTACTTGTTCTGCTCTTTTGCGTATACCGAGCAAACCCGTCATTGAGACATCCCCTCATACTGATGATTCCTCTGTTATGGCT